GGAAACAAGAAATGGAACGAAGCATCTCCTTGACCATTTAAAGATATGTCCATATCGCAAGAGGCCTGCGGACACCAAGAAGCAAACTTCTTTGAGGTATAGTTCGAATGTACAAGGTGGGAAAGTTGCTGTAGAGAACTATACTTTTGACCAGGATGTTGCTAGAAAGGCTCTTGGTTCCATGATTCTTCTCCATGACTATCCTCTGTCAATTGTTGATCACATTGGGTTTAGAAAATTTGTTTCTGCACTCCAGCCATTATTTAAGATGGTGAGAAGAAATACTATTAGGAGTGACATCTTAGATAGCTATAAAATTGAAAAGAAGAGGGCTATCAACTACATGAATAAAAATAAAAGCAGGGTGGCTATCACTACAGATATGTGGACGTCTGAACATCAGAAAAGAGGCTACATGGCTATCACAGCACATTTCGTTGATGAATCCTGGAAGCTTCAGAGCTATATTATGAGGTATTTTTGGTCATATATTTTGTGTTATTTTTTTATGCAAACTGCACCACCGTTGTATAACATAGTCTCTAATAACAAGCTTTTGCATTTTTATATGCAGATTTATTTATGTTCCAGCACCACATACAGCTCATGTAATTGCCGAGATACTTCATGATGCACTGGTCGAATGGTATCTGGAAGATAAGGTATCTACATTGACTGTTGATAATGCCACAACAAATGATGCTTGCATTCCCATTTTAGAGAATCTGATAGGTCCAAGTAAGCTTATGTTAGGTGGCAAGCTTTTACATATGCGTTGTTGTGCGCATATTCTTAACCTGATAGTCAAGGATGGTTTGGATGTGTTAGAAGAATCGATTGAGAAAATCCGTGATAGTGTTGCATTCTGGACTAGCACACCTAAGAGAATAGAGAATTTTCAAGAGGTTGCCAAGATGCTGAAAGTAGACCAAAGTAAAAAATTATCCCTTGATGTGAAAACACGATGGAACTCTACGTACTTTATGCTCAGTGTTGCTTTACGCTACAAGAGTGTATTTAATCGCTTGAGGCAGCGGGAAAAGACCTTTACTTGTGCTCCTAGTGATGATGATTGGATATTTTGTGGAGAAGTCTGTGATAGGCTTAAGTTGTTTGCTGACATTACTGAAATATTTTCTGGGACTCAGTATGTGACTGCTAATATTTACTTTCCTAAGATCTGTGAAATTAAAATGAATATAAGGAAGTGGTCGAAGTGTGGGAATGAAATTATAGAAGCTATGTCAGATGCTATGAGTGCAAAATTTGACAAGTACTGGTCTGATATCCAAGGCCTCATGGGTATTGCTACACTCCTTGATCCACGGTTTAAGATTGATATGTTGCATGTGTGCTTTGAAATGCTCCTTGGTGACGAGTCCATTATTGATTGTGAGAGTAAAGTTCATGAGATCCGTGAGTTAGTGTCTAGCCTGATGCTTGAATATCAAATGGAGAGTGAGCAAGAGAATACAGAAGCCCAGTCTGTGTCCATTTCTGCAATGGAAGCTAACGAAGTGATGTACATCTTCAGTGCACGAGTAGCTAGAAAGAGGCCTGCAACCAGTTTATCCAGAACAGAGTTAGACCGCTACTTGGATGATGAGTATGTGCCAGCTAATCAAGAGAATTTTGATGTGTTGGGATGGTGGAATGTTGCTGGTTCACGCTACCCAACTTTGAGGGCTATTGCGCGTGATATATTTGCCATCCCAGTAACTACAGTAGCTTCCGAGTCAGCTTTCAGTAGAAGTGGAAGAGTACTTAGTGAGCACCGCAGTCGTCTGACCCCTGATTTGCTAGAGGCTTTAATGTGTTCACAAAACTGGGAGAGAAACAAAGCTAAAGGTTTGCACATTTCTCTATCATTTGATCCTTTAACCATTTCTATTTTCTAGTTTTATGATTAAATTTATGTTTCTGTTTTTTTGGACATGTCACATGTAGATGATGAGAAGACCGAGGCTGCTAGTTTCTGGAGTTGCCTTGATGATATACAAGAAGGTTTAGAGGTGAGTCAATCTAAGATTGTACATGGCACCATTTTCATACTTCAAAGATTTTTATCTATTCATCAAGCATTTTTTTATGGTTGTCGTATGTGTTTCTGCAGCGCATCACACTATAGAGGGGGTTCCTTCTGTACTTCCTACAAGTCAGCTCAACTTCAACAAACAATGATGCCGAACACATACCAAGGCTGTAGCTGTTAGCTTGCTACCTCTGCAATACTTTTGCGCACGATCATGTTTACCTTAAGTTAGTTATGGCCACATGGAACCTTATGTTGGAGTCAATAAATTATGTCAAGCGAGTCAGACAAATTTTGTAGTCAATAAATTATGTCAAGCGAGTCAGACAAATTTCGTCCTTATTAAATGTGGTGTTTGCATTGATACTCTCTTCAAGCGTGTGCTCACGCTATTCAATATTTCTATGATATTTGTGTTGGAAACATGCCCATTATGGCTTGTTATGTGTTCAACCATGGTGCATACAACATCTTGTCGCCATGTACCATTATTAGTGCATTTTTATTTGTTATTTCACTTTAATAAATGTTGATTGTATTTTATCATATTATATATATGATTATTTGTTTATGGGGATGGGGACCCTAATGGGGCCCCGCTCCCCAGTGGGGCATGGGTATGGGAAAATTTCATCCCCGGTCATGCAAACGGGGATGGGGATGGGGTGATGGGGAATAGATGGGTACGGGGATGTTCTATGGGTCCCCATAGGGGATTGTCCCCATTGCCATCCCTAGGCCCCACCACATAAACCCGGCAAAAGGTGGGTCCTAACTGGCTGTGTCAAACTATTACGCTCGGCTATTGGGAGGAGATAGAGGGGGCGGCGCACGGCCATGCCGACCACGGTCGTCCGCGAATTGGGCCCGAAAGAGGACGATGCGGAATCGATATGACGGTATTTTTTAAATATTTTCATAGATAAATTTCTCCATTACTGAACTGGTTTTCACAATTATTTAAATAAAACAGTTTGAATTAGTTTTTACGAAAAAAATAAATGTTGGCGGACCATTACCAGTAGTGGTAGCTGCCCTGTGTCTAGTCGACACGTAGTGGCTGTGAAAGCAAGGCAACCGCAACTTTCCCTCTCTGCTCTGCTCGGCTTAAAGAGAGGAGCTCACTCCTCGCGACGGTGCCAAGGCTGCGACATAGTAGTATTCGACCGGCGTTCCCAAGCTCGAAGTAGGCCAAGACCACGAGGACGAGAGGATCAGCGCGCTCCCCGGCCACCTCCTCCTCGACATCCTTGAGCTCCTCGGCCTGGAGGAGGCGGACCGCGCCGGCGTAGCCTCGACGCGGTGGCGGCACCTCCCCGCCAGCTCTCGCGCATCAACCTCCTCGCCTAAACTTCTTTTGAATACGAATTCACTGGTATAACTTTTGCTTCCGTCGCAGTCGGTCTCGTTGGTTAAATTTATGATCAAAGTTGAAGCACGGGAATAGAGGAAGCACTATATTTTGGAACGGAGGGAGTACCATTAAGTTGATCTGATTTTCAATCACTCACAAACTTTAATCTATCACACATACTAGAAGTAGTGCATACAGGATGATTTAGTCCTCCCTGCATTATAACTGGATTTAGGGAACGCGTGGCTTGCATATGAATGATGGTGCAATGCAAATGAAAGTTAATTACGATACTCCATTTGAGTTTTGCGGAGAGGATTATAATTTCATACGGATCCTCAAAGCATATTCATGTGTGTTACATTATGTAGGATTTAGTTCACGCAAATTCTTCCAAGGCTCCGCACAAGGCCTAAACTTACATCAAATGTAAGAATTGAGCTTGTCGCAGAAAATTTAATGGAAAAGATGTGTAACTGCAATTGTTGCTACGCTTTCAAGCATGCGTTTGGTGGAGTTTAACCTTAACTTATATTGCTTTCTGACAAAATGCTTGAGGACGGTGCCAAGAAGACTAACGTTGTCTGGGAACCATACAAGGATTTGAAGCATGGACTTGGGCCTCATTCGGTTTGGAGGATTTTCATAAGAAAAACATAAGAATAAGAATTTCAAAGAAAAATGTCGTATATGTGCATTCGGTTTGTAGGAAATTTGTACAGAAATTTCATAGGAACACTACTCATTTCCAGTTTTTTTGGAGGAAACTACGCATCCACTCAAAACTCATTTTGCGCATAGGAACGAGACAAGTCAAATTTCTTAGGACGGCAAGTGTTATCCCATCAAATTTCTATACTACTCCTAAATACGGTTTGATTTCCTCCAAACCAAATGAGCCTTTGAAGTTGCTGACGCTGCCCAGGTTTAAAGAGGAAGACAAGGTGACCAACTACATAAGGGTTGTCATGGAGTGAGCTAAGGGGTTGAATATTGAGTTATGGGGTGAACGCAGCCCATGCTTGTACTGCTATGACATCGACACTAAAAGGAGATCCCGGGTGAATGAAGCTAGCCAGCGTTTCTGAAAACAGCACACAATGTTTCAACCAAATAATGGGACTAAACAGCACACAATCCCAATGTTTCAATCGAATAATGGGACTACACAGCACACAACACAGCAAAGAACAACAAACACGTGTCACCTCCTTCCAATGGTACAAATCAAAACTTCTCAAACTCCACAAAACATCAAGAATTCTTGTAGTAGATCGACTAAAAAAGCATCAGGAAACAAGACGGTCTTATTGAATCACCGAGCTAATATATGCCAGAGAAGCGTGTCTAGGTAACAAGCTGCGGTATGATACAGCAAACTACCCAACATGAGAAGAAAAAATAGCAATTCTTCGGAATGGTAACAAACCATTATCCGTAGGAAGTTGGTTGGCTGAATGCATCCACACAAGATGCATCCATGCCAGTCCCCTTGCTCTCGACTCTCGTTTATCTCGTGTTTCCGGTCGGACAAATCCTTCATATCAACATTCATTTGTTCGCTAAAATTCACTACGCCAAAAAAAGAGAAAGGTCTGGAACATATTATTGTTATTAGCTCATGACTTTGGCGACAACTCCGGCGCCGACGGTCCTCCCTCCTTCCCTCAGCGCGAATCTTAGACCTGGATAGCACAAAACAGAGAGATGAAGTCTTCGGATACTACTAAAGCGTATCAGATGCCGAAAAGTTCAAAGAACAAAATGCAATCGTACCTGGTTCGAGCGGAACAGGCAACATCAACTCAAAGATTGCGGTTACGTTGTCACCAGGCATAACCATCTTCACGTCCGGAGGCAACTCGATTTTCCCACAGATATCAGCTGTCCTGAAGTAGAATTGTGGGCTGTAATTCGAGAAGAATGCAGTGTGGCGACCACCTTCATCCTTGGTAAGGACGTAAATTTCCGCCTCAAACTTTTTGTAGGTCTTCACAGTACCGGGTTTGCAAACCACCTGAAATAGTAGCAAATGTTAGCAGGTGAAAATCGATAAAAAGAAGCAGCAAGTAACACTGAAAAAGGCACCAGATAGAGATAGGTATGCGGCAGCAAAAAAGAAATTTGAAAAGGCAATGTGCATAACAAATATTATTTGGTGACAACAGAGGCAATTACTTGGTACTCCATCTGTTTGCCCAAAGACCTCTATGGCTAAGAGCAGAAGTATATTTAGATCCAACATCTACATGTTCAACTAAGAATCAGGCTTACTGACCTGGCCACGCTCGACATCACCACGCTTAAGACCACGGAGAAGAAGACCAACATTGTCACCAGCCTACAAACAAAGAGTTGTCAGCATGAGACCCATCATCAATGAAGAACAATGCACGGCCTACTTTCATAATCATTACCTCTCCATGATCCATCATCTTTTTGAACATCTCAACACCAGTAACTGTAGTCTTCACAGGACCACTCTGTGACCAAGAATATGTTCCATCATGATACATCAAGGTAGCAATGTAATGGGTAATAAACTTGTGAGGACAACTAGGAAACTAGTGCCACCAGTCTTTGCTTAGTGTTGCATCTAGGCTCATGTGTGCATAGCAGACATAGGAGAAAAGATATATTACAACTAAAAGTAATAATCTCATGTACAACTTCACTAGGATTAAGCATTATAATACATAGCTGATTATTTTTCAATACTCAACAGTTGCATAAGATAGCCAAATTCATGCAAAAAAAATGATTATGGGCCAGCCATGGGTCAGGGACATTATCAGGCTTTAACTCACCTCCGTCAAACCTATGACCTCAACATCCTCACCAGTTTTAATTACCCCCTGTTCAATACGTCCAGTCACAACAGTACCACGACCCTGCAAATTGAAACAAATTAATCGCTATCATAATTAGCTGACAATGATAAGATTAGGCAAGACAAATGTATGAATTTGTCGTTATGATTTATGGAGCTGATGACTTTTAACTTCTCAAGGATGCTGATATTCCTGACTATACTGATAGATAATTCAGAAATAATGACTGCGGAGTGCGGAGGGACAACTTTTAAGTTTGAAAATTGAGTACACAGAAATATTGCCTGAGATTTGTGTTTCAGAGTTTCATGGTCTAGTGCTGCAGGGCCTGATTAAGTTAAACAGAATAACAATCAAAGATTCCCTGATTAAGAAGGAAAATAGAATAGCCGGGATAAAAGTATACTAGAGAAGGAAAATTACGATAGTCTGATCATGCATAATTTAGTGCAAATGCCACCTTGCGAATAAATCGTCTATGGCACAAGAGATAATATCATAGAACATAGGGAATAGATTGCTGTGCAACCGTCATAAGTATCCTAACATCACATTGCTTACTACCAAACGATGGAGATGTCTTAATTCTTGTACATAATAGTTTGCTAGGCTTTCTAACAATCAAACATCGGAATGAAAATGTAACACAAATAACTGTATATCACAGTGGTTAGTGCAGCAATCTGAAAATATAATCACCTGGATTGAGAAAATGCCTTCAATTGGCATCAAGAAAGACTTATCAAGCACCCTCACAGGATCGGGGATGTAAGAATCGACGGCATCCATCAGTTTCAAAATAGCATTCTTTCCAATCTCCTCATTTGTTCCATTCAAGGCTGACAAGGCAGATCCACGGATGATAGGAATATCATCGCCTGGGAACTTGTAGAAACTGAGGAGCTCTGCAGATAGAAGGGAGACAACAAATTTCCATTACAGCAGGAATATAACCAAGCAACCAAAAACAACATGGACAGCTGAAAAATGCTAGAATACCTCGAAGCTCCATCTCCACAAGTTCTAGTAGCTCTTCATCTTCAACAGCATCAACTTTGTTTAAGAAACAAACAAGTGATGGCACACCAACCTAGAAAAACAGAAGGGAGAAATGTCCATCTGCTCAGAACTGCAAAGCGAACATGCTGAAGAGACAAACTGCCGCGGAGAATACTGAGAATTTTGAACCTGTCGAGCTAGAAGAATATGCTCCTTAGTTTGTGGCATGGGGCCATCAGGAGCTGACACAACAAGAATACCACCATCCATTTGAGCAGCACCAGTGATCATGTTCTAAGTAATCCACAGCAAATTAAAAGCACACAAGCATCAGAGAAGTGTGTGACAGACAGTTTAGGAATATGAAAGCTCTAGAATGCAAAGTTCAGATGTCATAAGTGTTCATTCAGATACGAGGGATTATGCTGGAAGTTCATGAAGGTCAGTCACCCAGATTCTGAATTCAGCATACAGGGCATTCCTTTACGCTTTATAAAGTAAAATTTCTCTAGATCCCTCAACCCATAGCAGTTACCTTGACATAATCGGCGTGCCCTGGACAGTCCACGTGAGCATAGTGCCTCTTAGCGGTCTCATACTCGACATGAGCCTGTGCAAAACACAAATGCTCATAGAATCAGCACTTGATCTGCAAATGGAAATGAACACAGAACAATAGTATGCCAAAAATGTCAGCAGCAAGCGCTAAGGCCGGACCGTGGAGATGGTGATTCCTCTGGCTTTCTCCTCGGGAGCCTTGTCGATCTCGTCGAACGCCACCGCCTTGGCGCTCCCAGCCTCCGCCAGCACCTGCCACAAGACTCGGTTCAGAATTCAGATCACGCCTACACACGGGGAGCCACTCAAATTCGGACCAGCTCGCACTGCTTCGAGCCAGAGCGGGACTGATCTGACTGACCTTGGTGATGGCGGCGGTGAGCGTGGTCTTGCCGTGGTCGACGTGGCCGATGGTGCCGACGTTGACGTGGGGCTTCCTGCGGCACAGATTCAGCCGGGAGACCACTCAAATTCCGAACTAGGACACGGGAAACGGAAGGGGGGCGGGGAAGGAAGAGCGGATCTGAGGGAAGGGGGTGCTCACGTGCGGGTGAAGGTGGCCATGGACCTCGCCCATAGGCCAGCGGCCAGCGGCGAGGGCGGCGGCGGCTGGGGCCCGGCGGCCGCGGGCACGTCGGGGAGCGCGGCGGGGCCGGAGATCACGGCGGCGCGGAGGGCCGGGTAGGCGAGGACGCGGCGGGAGCCGCCGCGGAGCACTGCGGCGGCGGCCATTGCGGCGGCGGATGGGTTTAGTTAGGGCTTTAGGAGGAGAATGGGGGAGGAGGAGGAGGCGGCGCCCACGAAGAGGAAATGGGAGATGCGAGCGGCTCCCGTTACTTCTACGTCACGGTACGACCCGTGGGCCGCGCTCGACACGGGCTTCCGGGCTCACATTGCTCGGTGCGCTTTTTCTGGCGGCCCAGTGTTTTCTAAAACGTGCTAAGTTTTTATTATTAATTTCTCATCCTCGCCTCAAAAAAAAAATTCTCACCCGAAATAATCAAACATGATGTGGAAATGCAGAAGAGCGAACTCAAGAAACCCGTTATCATGTAATTCTTTTTAAATATAAACTATAGAAATTAAACTTGCATGAACTAACCCGTATATTAGACAATGATAAAAATGTAATATTGCGATTGTCTCGGGAAATAGAATTAGGCAAGTGATTGCTCTAATTTGTAAATGAATAGTGTCTATGAAAGATATCTTGGAAACAAAAACATGAATAAGTAACATAGGTTTAGAGAACATACATGATAGTCAATAGCACGATTGGTAAGATAAATTAACCGGGCAATCTTTTCTGCTTAATTAATCGATAAGACAAATCTTTTATCGTTGTTTAAAAAAATAGTGTCATTTCCCCTAAAAAAAGAATTAGCGCTGCTTGATTCCCATATTGGTAGACCTTGTCATCGTTGCCACGCGCACGTGAGGGAGGAAGGCAGTGGGGCGTCAATGTTATGTGGTGCTGCGACGCCAACATGGAGACCAGCAATGTGTGGAGGGTCACCGCCCGCTTCTCGGGAATTACGTTGGAGAAGCCTCAACCCACGCAAAAAACTTTCTAACTACTCTCAGTTCCCTCCTCGGTCCCAATCGGCGCCACCCTTCTCTCTCTTGAATTCCTCTCGCCAGTGTCCATAATCTTTCGGTCTAACGTGCAAGGCAAGCATGTCACAGTTATTGGAGCAACATGGCCACCAAATCAGTCTAAACTAAACACAAGACAATAAGCTAGACATACTAAAAACAGCCAAAATGGCAAGAAGGACCTATATGTACCACACAAAAAGAAAACAATGGCTTGCATGAATCCGCAACAAAAAGTATCACTCTGCTAGTTCCCTTTAAAACACACCGTGTATTTTTTTTCTCTCATGCAAATACAAGCAACAAAGAGGTGCACACACATGCTTCCCGACTGGCGCAGCGTGTCACCGCGCTTCCACCCGCTAGTCCACTTATAGAAGAACAAACCAGGGCAAAACTGTAGTATTTGACAAAAAACCACCACAATTGGGGTCGTCGTCCTACTGAACTACACCTTTCAAAATTTTGAACAAAAACTACCACTTTTTTTTCTAATTTTGTGCCTAAAAACTACCAAAAACGATTGATGACCGTTTTAGAGATTTTAAACGCGTTTATGACATATGGGGCCCACTTGTCAGGGCCGACATGCCGCAAAGTCAACTCTGTTTATTTTGACCGTTATATTTGTTGTTATGATAGGTGGGGCCCACACATCAACATCTACCTTCTCCTTGTTCCTCCTGCTCTATTTCGCATTTTCTCGAACACATCTTGTGGATGGGAAGCATGGGAGTTCCGGGGTATCTCGCTTGACCGGGGTGGCGCAGCCGGAGTAGGGAAGCAGTACATTATGCAACTCTCGCTCATTGAGCTACAAGCTGAGCTGCAGGTCGAGCCCAAAAAGCGTCCTCGGGCGTGAAGGCCATGGCCTCCGGCGCCATCACCATGCGGGGATATCTCAAGAAGCTAGAGGCGTGGAGCCTCCGGCCATGGTGGTCGACCACGTTGTCCTACACGACATAGGGCTCAGCAGCGGCCTACGCGGTAGAGAGGCGTTGCCGGCGCATAGGAGAACACGGGCGACGAGGTGAAGGTTGTCATCAGCGTCTTCCCCTCCAGCCGCCGAACTGCGTTGGTGTCGGGTCAAGTGGCGCGTGGTTGTCATTGTTGATGCTCGAGCTGCACCACGAGGGAGGCGTCCAGTGTTGTAGCTCGTTCGCTCCTCGTCTGCGCTTAAAACTATGGCCGCATCGTGCACCGCCATCTCTGGCCCACGTCAGACACACCGCTCAGGACTAGGCCATCTCACCCATCCCCGGCGACTGGATAGGTTCATGCTTTACAGCAGCAGAGGATAGAGCTGGACGCATCCCGCCTTGCTCGGTTGCTCCTGCGAGACTGAGCTCCCGGCTGGTCCTGCTTGCTTGCACCCCAGCTCGCACCTGCGATGCCAAGCACCGGCATGGTGGCGGACGGCGATGGTAGGGCTGGGCGCCTCTGCAACCCTCACAACTCATCCAACCAAAGCTCCGGCAGGCATCCAAGATGCTTGACTAGATGTCCCAGAGAGAAAACATTTGCAGGGAGAAGAGGGTTGATGATGAATATGGCCCCACCTATCATAACGGCCAATCTGATGGTCAAACCTAACATAGTTGACTTTCCTGCCACGTCAACCTAATGGTCCGGTTGTCATAAACATGTTTAAATCGTCTAAAACGGTCATCAATCGTTTTTGATAGTTTTTAGGCACAAAAGTAGAAAATACGGTAGTTTTTGGTCAAAATTTTGAAAGTTGCAGTTAATGGGACCACGAGCTCAGTTGTGGTTGTTTCTCATACTCCTGTCTGGCAGGCCCAAGAAACCTTCGCCGGCCTTCTCGAATCTCGGCGGGCCACAAAAGGTCGCGAGGAAGAAGCAAATGACGGTTCTGCCATCCAGTCAACCACAGCCACGACTCATCCGTCCTCTGCATCCGTCGCCGCCGGCGCTCGACCTCCACACGCCACCCGCCGCCCGCCGCGATGGCCGCCGCCGCCCCCTCCGCCACGGCGCTCGCCGGCGCAGCCCTCCCGCTCCCCCTCTCCGCGCGACCTCAACCCGCTCGGTTCTCCGTGGCGCTCCCCCGGACGGCCCCTCCTCCCCCGGCCCTGCGGCTCCGGTCGGTGCGGCGCCTGGCGGCGGCCGAGGGGCCCCCGGCGGGCATGAAGGAGACGCTGGACAAGGTGGTGTCGGCGCACAAGGTGGTGCTGTTCATGAAGGGGACCAAGGACTTCCCGCAGTGCGGCTTCTCCCACACCGTGGTGCAGATCCTGCGCTCCCTCGACGTGCCCTTCGAGACGCTCGACGTGCTTGCTAACGACGCCCTCCGCCAGGGGCTCAAGGACTACTCCAGCTGGCCCACCTTCCCGCAGCTCTACATCGACGGCGAGTTCTTCGGCGGATGCGACATCACCCTCGGTATGTATACATATGAGCCCTCTGCCTTTTCCTTCTCCCGCAGCTCTACATCGACGGCGAGTTCAAAATTTGAGAATTATTGCTGTGCTACTACACGCCTGATGTTATGGTGTGAATTGTTCTGTGACGAACCTATTTTCTTCTCTCTAGTATCGGGGTGTAGCAATGCGTCATTAACCTGAAATACTTTCAGTTGAGGGCGATAGTGGTAGATCTGGCATGTGGAAAACTCTATGTCTGTGTAGCTGTTTCAGGCATATAATTTGCTCATGTTCAAGGCACACTACATTCATGCTGCTTCTTGTAACTGAAAGAGTTTTGGGGCAGTGTCAGTTTTAAATAGGAGTAGTTGGGTTCTTCACATTCAAGAGATAAACTAGGATTGGATTGCACTCGTCCCTCTGTTTCTTTGTAATCTCCATATTAGTGTAGAAATGTGACGGACGAAGTAGCCGCACTGCTTTCTTCCGTAGTCTACCTGATGCAGTGCTTATGTGTGCGGGAATGCCTCAGGGATTCGATGCTCTATAACTTAGCCAAACTGTTGGGACTTGGGAGAGTAGGAACACGCATGGTGATGTTGCACTTGCTTAGTTATAGTCTGCAGTTAGCTTTAGAGAGAAAACAAAGATCGAGTTGACATGGCTTGGTGCCAATATCAGAATTTGATTATGCCAACCTATGGGATCAGAATTATCAAGACTAGCTGAGTTCTGATCAGCAGCTTTGTTGTAAACTAAGAACCAGCTTTGTACCTCCCTGAAGTTTTTCAGCATGGGTTTAGTATTCCTTTCCTATGACTTAACTTGATGACAAACAATCCATCTTTACTGTATGAGCAACAAAAGACGCATGGATATTCCTGTTGCTAATTAGAATCCATGGTGTGCTCCCAGACATGCTCACCATCATTATCATAATCAAAAATAGTTGTATCCCCACTATTTGCACCACCTTGGGTAGGTGCAAAGTTTTCTTTTCTAGGCAGAAATCTTGCATAACAAGTCCATTTCATGCCAGGATGAGTTGGACTGTGGTAGTGTTAAAGTCTGGTGATAGTGTCAGACAGTACGGAAGCGATGTGGCTTGCTGCAAGTCCTGCGAATAAATATGGCTTCCTATAATCGTAATTTTGTCTCGTGACTTTGATCATTCCCAGCGTTGCCCGAAACCTCTGAAGTAGAAGCAATTGAAATAGAGCCCGAAATCTCAAATCTCAAAATGGGAACAATGCTTTGTTTCTTGCTGTAAGATCCCCTCTGTGCTACAAAATAGGAGCATTGCTTTCTTTCTTACTGTAAGATCCCCCTCTGTGCTATGACATTATCTATCTATGGCGGCAACATTATCAGGAAGGACCATCATAATGTAAGTTGGTACCCTTCTTTTCGCGGTTGCCAACATCAAACCGGCCAACATTGCAGCAGGCGAGGATCTCATTTGTTCTGCTCCTGTTTCAAGCTCGATTAGCATTCATGGCCGGATACTTCCTAGTATACATGAAAGCTCAACCATTATTTTTATTTATGCTTCGGTGTCAAATACATGGAATAGTGCCAGCCTTTGGGAACACCAATTTCCAGACTGGTGCAAAATTCCAGCCACATGGCTTAAATTTGTGGTAAGCCATTCCAATCAAGCAGCAGACTATGCATTGCTGAGTCACCTACTCGAAAGCTTTATTAGACCATTCCATGCTATGAATGTGTGGCATTCAAGCTTGAAAAAGATCA